GGGGGGGGGGGAGGGGCGGGGTGGCCTTGGGGGGGGCAGCTGGGAAGGGCAAACTGCAGCTGAGTCTGGGTGGGGCAATTGGCTCTGCCCTTCCCCTCCCGTGGCCCATCCACGCCCTGCACGGAGCAGCCATGAGCAGAGCTGTGTCTGAGCGCTGGGGGCCGCCACTCCCTGTGGCTTATGGGGCCCGAGGGGAATGGGAGGGGCTGGAGCAGGCGCCTGGCGGGAGCAGGCGTCTGTGGCCACTCTGGGTCCTGCCCTGGGGAACAGGGCAACAAAGCAGAGAGCAGCCCCCTTATCACCCCCATTCTCCACCCCACCTGGGGCAGTAAAACAGCCCGTTGGGGGTGGCCAGCCCGGCCTTAGCAGCTGGGAGTCACGGGGCCCCAAATGGGTCCTGGCTCTGATGATCGTTAATGACGGGGGGAGTCACGTGCCTCAGCAGCACCCCCGCTTGTATAGGTGCAAAGGGGAACCGAATTTGATCGTGAAACATGAGAGGTAAATAGGGGGGATTCATCCCTCTGCCCCTTCAGCCCCCTCAATAAGGAGAATGACTCAGGGCAGTAGCTTCCCTCCAGAAAGGGGACGATGCTGCGAGAAAAAACCCCAAACCTGAGAGGATTTTTGCTCGGTAACTGACAGTGGTCGTGGGACCAGCCCTATTGATGACACTGAGCAAAACCCCACTGCATCCGTGGGACAGTGAACACACCAAGCAGAAGCAAACTATCTGCATAGACACCCCAGGGTCCCACCTTGCTGTAGGGCACACAATCCTTCAGCGCCTGCCTGCACCTACGCATCTGAGAGACTAGCAAAACATCTGGGCTGTGTCTAGACTGGCCAGTTTTTCCGCAAAATCAGCTGCTTTTGCGGAAAAACTTGCCGGCTGTCTACACTGGCCGCTTGAATTTCCGCGAGAACACGGACAATCTCATGTAAGATTGCCAGTGTTTTTGCGGAAATACTATGCTGCTTGGCTACGTCTAGACTGGCATGATTTTCCGGAAATGCTTTTAACGGAAAAGTTTTCCATTAAAAGCATTTTCGGAAAAGAGCATCTAGATTGGCACGGACGCTTTTCCGCAAAAGCACTTTTTACGGAAAAGCGTCCGGGCCAATCTAGACGCACTTTTGCACAAAAAAGCCCTGATCGCTATTTTAGCCATCGGGGCTTTTTTGCACAAAAACATGTCTATGTTGGCACGGACACGTTTCTGCAGAAAGTGCTTTTGCAGAAAAGCGTCCGTGCCAATCTAGACGCTCTTTTCTGCAAATGCTTTTAACGGAAAACTTTTCCGTTAAAAGTGTTTCCGGAAAATCATGCCAGTCTAGACGTAGCCCTGGAGAGTGTCATGAGCTTTCTGGCACAACCCACTGCCTCGGACGACAAACATGGAGCAGTGGGCGGTGCCCATGAAAACTCATTTTTAAGTTTCCTTTAGTTACAGACTAACCCAGCTCCCCCTGAGACTTTTAACCAGGCGAGGTTTTGAGTGTCTGTACCTGTCTGGGAGTTTTCTTAGGTAGCTTGGGGCTTGTTTGGGGGCATGTCTGGGGCTCTGACGTCTGTGGGTTTTTTTCTTTCTTCATTTCCATCCAGCAAGTGTGATTGGCTCCCAGTTGTGCAACCTGCTTACCAAAAAAAAAGAGCAGCTTCAACAGGCTGCGCTGCTCCCTCTGCTCGGGAAACGAAACTAACTTGCAGGGCAGTGCTTGTATTCGGAGGAGCCATGGCTGCCGGGGATCTGTCTGGGAGCTTCCAGGACGAGGTGACATGTCCCCTCTGTCTGGACTATTTCACAGACCCGGTGTCTATTGAGTGCGGGCACAACTTCTGCCGGGCCTGCCTCAGCCGGTGCTGGGAGGAGTCGGAGCCCAACTTCTCCTGCCCCCAGTGCAGAGAGACCATCCTGCAGAGACACCTGCGGCCCAGCTACCAGCTGGGGAACCTGGTGGAGCTGGTGAAACGCCTGCGGCTCCCGGCAGGGCCAGCGCCCGAGGGGCAGCCAGGGTGCGAGAGACACCAGGAGGCCCTGAAGCTCTTCTGCCAGGAGGATCAAGTCCCCATCTGCGTGATCTGCAGAGAGTCCCGGGCGCACCAAGCGCACAAGGTGTTGCCCATCGAGGAGGCTGGCCAGGAGTGCAAGGTAAGGACCACACTTACAGGAGCAGTTTCTCTGCAGCGACAGAGCTCCCTGCGTGTGTCCTACCTGCAGGGGGGTAGCAAGGATGTTTTGCACCCGGGGACAAAGGCCAAATTTGTGCCCCTTGCAATCATTTGTTACCGTGGATCTGTTGTTATTTGTAAGTCAGCAAAAAAATAACATAAGAAAAAAAATCACAAACACTCCGGCTGTGTCTAGACTGGCCAGTGTTTCTGGAAAATCAGCTGCTTTTGCGGGAAAAACTTGCCAGCTGTCTACACTGGCCGCTTGAATTTCCGCAAGAACACTGACGATCTCATGTAAGAAATCAGTGCTTCTTGCGGAAATACCATGCTGCTCCCGTTCAGGCAAAAGTCCTTTTGCACAAAGCTTTTGCGCAAGAGGGCCAGGGTAGACAGCTCAGATTTGTTTTGCGCAAAAAAGCCCCGATCGTGAAAATGGCGATTGGGGCTTTTTGCGCAAAAGCGCGTCTAGATTGGCCACGGATGCTTTTCCGCAAAAAGGGCGTTTTCAGAAAAGCGTCCGTGCCAATCTAGACTCTCTTTTCCGAAAATGCTTTTAATGGAAAAACTTTTCCGTTAAAAGCATTTGCGGAAAATCATGGGCGTTCCGTGGCCAAATAAAATTGGGAAACACAGTGCTAGACATCTCTAAGGCATCTTGCAGTCAACATGGGAGTCTGGCTCCAACCTCCTCCACTTAACTAATCTGGCCAGCCGTTAGGTGGAACAGCTATTGGTAAAAACAAGACCCGTGTGTGTGTTAAATGCATATAAGCAGGGCTCAACAAACTATGTAATCTACTTGCCCGTGGCGAGTAGATTACAATCGGGAAGAGCTGGGTTCGGGTGATCTGCGCATGGGCAGATCGCCGGACAGTGCTATAAATATTGACCGCTATATGTGTGTCTTACCAATAAATGTGGCATTCTGCCTTTTCCCCAAAAACGATCCCCTGCCGTACTTTTAAGTACAACACAACCATCCCTGCCCCCCAGTATCCCCATCCCAATACACTCACCTCTTCCCCTGAGCCAGGCCCCCACAGTGCTCCCCACCCCAATGCCAGCCCCCCCATTCACTCATCCCTCCCCTCCCCAGAGCAAGGCACCCCCAGTGCCGGGGGGAGCACTCCCTCAATCAAA